ATTATTATTATTATTATTATTATTATTATTATTATTTATATTATTGTTATTATTATTATTATTATTATTATTATTATTATTATTGTTATTGTTATTAGTATTGTTATTATTATTATTATTATTATTATTATTATTATTATATTATTATTATTATTATTATTATTATTATTATTATTTTTCAACTGTTGTTATTGTTATTGTTGTTATTATTGATATTATTATTCACAATTATAATAATAATAATAATAATAATTATTATTATTATTATTATTATTATTATTATCATTATCATTATCATTATTATTTATTATTATTATTATTATTGTTATTGTTATTGTTGTTATTATTATTGTTATGTAGCTTCATGTAGATTTCTTTTGTTTAATCTTGATGTTTATTGCTTCTGTTTTTGTCGACACCACCGGTGGGTACAGTGGTGATAATTTTAGTGTTTTATTCATAATACATTTTTTTAAATCTAGTTTTGGAAAGAAATTGTCATGAGTTCGATAGGAACTGGATATGATCTTGCTGCAGCGACATTTTCTCCTGATGGACGAATATTTCAAGGTTCCATTTATTTTGCTGTTGCCTATAAGCACTAAGAGTCATGTATTACTTTTTTCTAACTGTCAAAGAAAGAAATCAGTGGAAGGTATCTTTGAATTTTTTATTTTACATTGGTAGTAGGTATAAAACTTGGTAAAATGGCTCCTCTTTTTAGCACTGATGTTTGCCGTATAAGGAGAGCATATATTTTTTCTTACCATTTTGGAATATATGATTTTAGTTGAGTATGCTCAGAAAGCTGTTGATAATGGTGGCACATTGGTTGCTTTGAAGGGGAAGGACGGAGTTGTAACAGCATATGATAAAATTGCTCCATCAAAGTTGTATGTTGAGGTGAGAGATTTCTTGATTACTATTGCGTGCAAAACTGATTTTTAAAGAGCGATTTTGAAGAAATCTTCTGGGTATCCAATAAAACTAGAGTTTTTATATTAAGTTTTCATATTTTTGGACATTCTCAGAAACATTGCTTCTTTAAGGACGCGAATCCACGCATGATGAATGCTTCTGAATATGTCGGATGTGCTTTAGCGGGAGTTTATCCGGACTGCAGAGCACTTCTAGATTACGCTGTAGGTGAAGCACTAAAGTATCTAAAAGAGTATCGTACGCCAATGCCAGTGAAGAAACTTGCTAACCAGGTTACTGTAGAGTTTTATTGTAGATCGGCGACTGTAAATATTGTTTTTTTTTTTGGTAGTCTGTTTGATTGGAGGAATTTTCCGATTATAGTGTAAGTTGACGCAGTTACCCGGTAAGTTGTTTTACTAGCACATTATCTCTAAGATGAATTTTGTAGGTTGCCGAATATGTCCATATTTTCACTCTGGGAATAAGCCGGCCTTTTGGTGCTTCTGTATTCTTAACATCGTGGGACGTTAAAGTAAATCATTTTTATCTAATTCCGCTTTTATCAGTCATTTTGCTTTACTGGTTTTTTTAGAAGGGAAAGATATTTTAATAATTGTTTATAGAGTGGTCCGCAGTTATTCCTAATTGAGCCTTCTGGGTTATGCTACGAATACAAAGCTTGGGCGATTGGAAAGCACAGGCAGGCAGCAAAGACTGAAATTGAGAAGTTAAAGTTAGAGGAACTTTCTATGGATCAACTTGTAAAAGGCTTGTTACTTGAAGCTATTATATGTTACTTGGTTCTGCGACCGGTAATTTTCATACTTTTGTTTCTGCAGCCTTTAACGTTTATTCTTCACCTTTTCTGGTTTCCAATTTTTTCTAGTAAATAAACTTATGTCAAAAATATCCTAATTTAATCCTGATTTACACCGGAATTAACGTAACATTTTAAACATTCACTTGTTATTTTTATGGCTTTGAAAATCGGTGTGTAACCAGGATTAGATGTTCAGTTTTAAACACCTGATGTGTATTTTTTACTTTTTTATGAATCCTCTACTGTTAATTTGTTGGCTGTTAGCTTAACTGTCTATCAGGTTTTGAATATCGGTTTACTTTATTTCGTTTACTTACAACCAAATTTCAGAAGCAATTCGGATAATAATGACCGTTAGGGACGAGTCAAAAGATAAGAACCTACGGATTGAAATGGGTTGGGTAGGCGAAAAGACTGAGGGAAAACATCAAATTATACCGAAGAATGTAGGGTTTCAATTGCTGTCATAGAATACCAATGCAATTTAGAATTGCTCACTTCTACTAAATACGTTTATATCAACTTACTAGTTTAAATAGCTTCGTTTTTACGCTTTCCAATAAGTTTATTATTGATATTAACTAGAATTTTTTTAATTTTAGGTAGTAGCTGAAGCGGAACAATGGGCAAAGGCGAAACTGGAAGAAGAAGATATGGAAGAATAAGTTCTTAATATCACTGACATGAAGTAGCTTGCTTCTTTCGTTTATTTCTGTTTTTTGTCGAATGTAGATGCATTTGTGACGTTGCTGTGCATTTACATGGTTGATTGTGACGGAGGAATGACGGGTCGTTTTGATGAATTTTTTTAAATCTGTTTTATTAGACTTGTTTATTGTTTGAATTCGTTTTTGCTCGGATGTCATGGATCGGTTTTTTTTTGCTGAGTAACTTGTTGGAATTGTTACAGTGTTGTGAAATTGATTGTGTGATTTAAACTGGAGCGAAAATTGTTAAAGTCAATTAATTCTTGCTATTGAATTGCTATATTAAACGAGATTTTAAATTAGTAACTGGTCGGCTTTTAATCTAAGGACATGAAACTGCGAAAGTTGGACAATGGTTCTGATATTGTCGACATTGATTCTCATTCGAGCATTTTAATCATAAGCCAATGCTTTGCTCTGTTGGCGGTGAGAAGTCATAACGTTCTAAGTAATTGTTCACAGCCAGTGCACCCGGTATTGTTCAGATATTTTGGTTGTTTGTGTTCAGGTCTGAAATATGGAGTTTACTGGGGATGTTGGGATCAGCATCAGGCTTTTTGCTGAAGGGGGTGACGAGTTGAGTGTAGCACCTATAATTTTATCTACAAAGACAACTGAACACCAACTGCAGGTAAGTGTTCTTCAATTCTACTTAGGAATTTGTTTTTTTTTCTGTAAGGGCCGTGGCATCACTTGCGGAAAGTGTTTTCTAGTAGGCTACGCCCGAGGTTTTTGCAACTACTTGGGATTTTTATTTTTAGGTTTTGTGCAATCAACTACTGGAAAATTCTGATGAGCCAATACCAATAACCTTTCGCACAAAAGATGGGATTGAGATTCATGACTCCATAAGTGAGTCTATTCCGGAAGAGAAGCTTGATTTTGAGAGAGTAAGCAGAAACTACTTTAACCACTTCTTTAATTGATAGGATAGACAATTCTTAAAAAATATTTGAATTTTTTAAATTACAGTTGAAGGATCTGGTTCAGTATTGTGAAAGTGGTAGCAAGTTTTTCTGAACGGTGTCACTACAACGCTTTCATTTATTTTCTTATTTGAATTGCTAACTTTGAAGGGCATCGAACTGGTTTATTATCCAGAGGCTGTGTTTCGTGTAAATCCAGTAACCAGATGTACAGCTTCAATTCCTGGTCATGGCGAACCTGTTATTAGTGTGCAATTTAGCCCCAACGCCAAGTTCGTTGAATTCTTTTTCCTCTACGCTTTCCAACGACATTTAGTTGCGAAAAAAAGGAAAGGAGGGTATATATTTTTGGCTTGTAAAGCCAGACCATATTATTATTGATTTTAGTGGCTTAGCAAGTGGATCAGGAGATACCACTGTTCGCTTATGGGATCTTAACACCGAGTTGCCTCTTTTCACTTGTAAAGGTCATAAAAACTGGGTGCTTTGCATCGCATGGTCTCCTGACGGGAAAAAGTTAGCTTCTGCTTGTAAAGATGGCATTGTTAGTATTCCTTCTTTGAACAAGAATCTCTGTTTGATTAGATGAACATGTTTTTAAAGTTCATTATACTCCTGGTTTGTTGACTTTTTCAGATTTGTCTATGGCGCCCAGAAAACGGAAAACAGATTGGAAAAAACTTAAGTGGGCATAAACAGTGGATTAATCAGCTTGCATGGCAACCACTTCACAAGGATCCAGTTTCAAGGTATTGCATTAAGTTTAGATTTTGGCTTGGAAGAAGTAGATGAATTATTTCTCAGATATTTGGCAAGTGCTGGGAAGGACGGAGTAATAAAGATTTGGGACACTGTAAATTTTTGTGCCAAGCTTAGTTTGACTGGACATACTGCGTCTGTTACTTGTATACGTTGGGGCGGAGAGGGTTTGATCTACTCGGGTTCTCAGGTAATCTTTAATATTTTAATGTTTTCTGACCCTTATTCAATGAAGCTACTTACGTAT